ATTGTTGGAAGCAAGCTGTAATTTTACTCTACAAAGTAAGAAGTCAAGCACATCTGCGAAAAGTAGGGGCAGAGCCAAGAATTACTGTTACGGTGGCTAAAAATTTTAAAAGTTTAATGTGCGACTAAAACTTATATATAATAAGAGAAATTCATAATATAAGTTACCTATTGAAGTTGTACTCGGCGATGTTTTTTAGCATAAAATCATCTATAATAGAATCAAGTTCTAAATTCTCGTTCAATGTTTAGTGTCAAACGACTTCAGCAAGAATTATTAAATTATAAAATTACCAAACAATTCATGAAAAGTCAGATTATATTGTTATTAAATTATATAATTCCCAAACAATTCATGTTGTTTACGGTACTTGCTTTCTGTACAACTCTAATTTGAGTTCTTGAATAGGTAAAATATAGTAAAAGAAATGATCATATCCAAGGCTTCAAGTACTTTCCAGAAATAAGATTCACATGTATGTGTGAAAAGATAATAATAGATTATACATACCTAGTCATTTCAATGACTTGGAATTTTGTTTGTATGAAAACACCACACATCACATTCTTCAAGCACCACTTGCTATATATTTTCCATTTCTTAAATTTTTGATTAGTATATAGTCATTAAGATTTTGTATCCGAACTAACATGTTCACAAGATCATGGATTTTAATAGGCGTATCAACCAATGAATGCTATTCCGCAAACATATTGTGCAGAAGATTTTTTGATTTCATTTATATAATTTGAATTCTGAAATTTAAGCATTGAAAGAGAAACAAAGGATAAGAGAAGATATTCCACATGTAGGAGTAGGCTAAACACATGCAATCAGCACGGTAGGCCGTTGGATTCATTCAACATTTTAGGCAACTTGTTATTCTAATGTATGTACAGTGGAGCCTAACGTGTTTAGTTTACTGAGGATTTTATTCATGAACAAAAGGGAGAAAGAACCCTGTATACAAGTATACAAAAACTCTCAGTTTAGACCGTGTCTAGGTAAAGAGCTATGAGTTTTTGTCATGCTATGATGATTTACTCATTGAAGAATGTGCAAACTTAATTTGGTTATTGGAAGGTCTTAATTGTTGTAAATTTTTTAGATTACTTGTTTGGTAACCAATTTAATAAAAGAGTATTATTGTTTAGGCAACTCTTTACCAGTATTTGTTAAAACCATATGATTAAAGAAGTAAATAAAAAATACGATAAAAAAATTTGAAAGCCATGCCACATAACCATCACAACCTTCCCTCAAAAACATTAACCTTGCATTTATCCTCGAAAGACCAAGTGAAGAACATAAATCTTGAAGTCTATACATGCAGGTGTTTTTCTGCATTTTACAAGATTGTGTCAATGACAACTCGTGTTTTCTCCACTTCTAATGTTGTTTTGATTTATTTTTCTGTTCTATCTTTTTTGTTAATGATTTCTGTTGGGTTAAGAAGGTTTACCAACATCAATGATCTGATTATTTTCTTTGTTTTTGAAGATGTAAGTCTTCAGGCAACAAATTTTCCACACATGGTGCTATTTTAAACTTCATAGATTTAATCTCAATTCACAGTGCAGTTCACATTTCACAATCCAATTCATAATTTCACATTATCAATCCAATTTCACAATATCAATTCACCTTCCAATTCGCAATTTCACAATGCAATTTATACTATTTCACAATCCAATTCACAATTCACAATCTCAAAATATCAATTCACCTTCCAATTTGCAATTTCACAATTCAATTTATATTATTTCACAATCCAATTTCACAATGTCAATTCACCTTCTAATTCGCCATTTCACAATGCAATTTATACTATTTCACAATCCAATTCATAATTCACAATTTCACATTATCAATCCAATTTCGCAATATCAATTCACCTTCCAATTCGCAATTTCACAATGCAATTTATACTATTTCTAAATCTTAAGCAACTTGAACTTACAATTTCACACAGTGGTTCGCAATTCCCAATCCAAAGCAGGTACCGATGACGGCTCCAAAATCGAAAGTTAGTGCCCTGTCGAACGCAATGAAAGTTAGCAAGTATTATTCCACTAAATCCCAACTATTTTTGTTAAGTTACTTCTTCTCAAACGACAAATTATGCTAGTTTGAAATATCCAGTATCCCTTAACTGAACAAAACCATGAGCTCGAAAAAAAATCAAAATCACTATGCTAAAAAAATTGAAATTGGAGGCTGAAACTGTAATCAAAATCACCTTCTTCGTTCTTCTGCTTCTTCAGTTCTTCTTCTTTCGTTGGGTTGGTAGGCTACAGCTGGCGGGAGGCAATGGTTCGATGTTAAAGTTACGGTGGGAAAGGATTGGGGGTTGGACTTTGGGGATACATTTACTAAGTCGGAGATTAGAGCCCCTAATTAGGAGATGTCGACCGCCGGTGGACTAGAACTAGAAGTCGACCACTGCAAGTTGGAGTGACGAGAGAAGCAGGGCGAGAGCCGAGAGACGGATAGCGACGCGATTCAAGAAATTGTTTGGTTTTGATTTCAATGAAAATAGGTTAATTGAATCAACATTCTGGGTCTGGGTCAGTAAACGGGTCAAGGGCTGTGCAATTGAGCTTCCATCTGGGTTGGAGATTGAAACGGGCTTTAAAAAAAATAAAATTGGGCCTACTGGAGCCCAAAAGTTCAGTGACACTAATCAACGATAGCATTCATTAAACGTTGCCAAAACTAATAAACGGCAACGTTCAATGAACGTTGCTAAAACATATACAGCAACGTGCATTGCCTGTTGTAAAATTTTTTTAACAACAACGTTTGGGTGAGCGTTGCTAAAACATGTAATGGCAACGTGTATTGCCCGTTGCCAAAACTAATTAACGGCAATGTTTTTTAAACGTTGCTAAAACATCTACAACAATGGTCAATGCACGTTGCCAAAAAAAAAAAGGGGTCTTTGAACGTTGCAAAGGGATGTATTAGTAACATTCACTCAAAAAACGTTGTTATTTCTTAATTTTCTCAACAAATGGCAAAGTTGCAATAGACCCTTTTTAGCAACATGCAATTAGAGAATGTTGCCGTTTACATGTTGAAGAAAGCCTTTTTTCTTGTAGTGAATAGAAAAAATAAATTAGTTTCCTCTCTTTCAATTACACACTTGTAAGCCTAAATCTTCATAAGACTAGCATACAATATTAAAAACGACAAACAAATATAAGAAAGACATTAAAAACAAATTTAAGATACCGGTAATATTTGTTAAAACTTAAACCTATATAATTACGAGAAAAGAAAGGAAATTAAAAAACCTAGTAAAACAGTTTAAGAAACAAGTTATGTCTTTCTTTTTCTTCTTTTTTCTGCTGTCGATTTAATCCTTGGCCCTTTTTTCCTTTGCCTTTTCTAAATATCAAGGGGTCGTTTTAAATTAATAGTTACTTGCTATCATCTAAATTCTTTAAAATTGGTGGATAGAATTGTTGATATTTATTTCGACCATTTCATTACTTTTGCACTTCTTAGTTTATGTGTTAGGAAAATTACACACATCTTATCTTAATTTTATTTGGCCTATAAATTTTGGACTCTTGCAGGTGCCAATTTGTCAGCGATAGAAACAGATGATCCTTGAAAGATTGTTGAAGATACCTAATAAGCAAGATATAATTAATTTGACTCTCCATCTCCTTGTTCTCATCTCAAAAGCATTTTTCATGTTTGACATATATAATAAAAAAAAAAAAAGGGTAAACCCCAACCTTAAGGGTGCCTCACCACCCCTGCCCCGGAGTATCGTGAGGGAGATAAATCGCAGGTTATGCCTCCAAGGGTACAGGGTGGAATGCTGCTTGTACACTTGCACTTACCCAAGAGCCAAATCCATATTTCAGGATTCGAACCCTTGACGTAGCAGCCTCAAGCAAAACTAGATTTCTCCACCCTCCCCTTTTACCACTTGGAGATATGCCCTGGAGGCATGTTTGACATATACAAATTCTTACTTTTGATGGTAATAGGCTAGCAAATGGAGTTTGAGATATATCAGTACGATTTCTCTTTAAATAATATCACGTGGATGATTAGCACCAATTTAGAGGGTGTCCATAATGCTACATAACACTCTATCATTGGCCTGTTTGAAACACAATCAACATTATGTCATCTTTTATGTACATTTATTATGGACATTTAGCAAAATCGTTTTATCTTTGTTGATTGGTTATACCTTTTTTATTTTAATTAATGATATGGATGACAGGCACACTGCAACTAATCGGTGGTATTCTTTTACTTTTACTTTTGACAACAAACCATGATCTACAAACCAGAAAAAGACATGTTTGTAGTAAACTTTTAAGAGGCCCCATTGCATAAAAATTGAAAAGAAGTAGTACTTGTGTATTGTTAGAAAATGATTTCAACTTTCCCACATTTGGATTAGGAGAAGTCAATTTTCTACAATTCTTGTCCATTTGGAGACCTTCAAATTTCTTGATTAGTAATTTATATAGAGGTATTTTCAAAAATGTCTAATTTCATGGGTGTCAATTGAAAAATGTCTACTTTTTAAATTTAGCACTAAATTGTCTATTATGCTCTTTATGAAAAAGAAGCAATTTATTTATTTTTTCAATTTGTTACGGATTTCGAGAAGTAGCTTCCATGAGAAATTACATTAAAATGATGTTCTTAACATTTCAAATGTCATTCTCGATATTTGAATCTTGTTTATATTTTAAAAGTACACATGTCAAATTACAATATTAAATGTTCTCGACATTTCAGACATTGTTCTCGACATTTAAAATCTCTTGAATGACATTTCATTCCGAACATGACAATTTTCTACACTTGAAAGCAAAACTAGGGTTTTTTTTTCGTCTCTCTCCAAAATTCACACAACAAGCTCCCTAAACACACAGCTGCATACATACTCACTTCCCTTCTCCCCTGGGGTCTTTCGTTCTCTCTTCACACACATCTCACAGGCATTTCACAGACAGAGTGAAAAAATGAAGACAATTCTCTCGTCGGAGACCATGGATATTCCGGACGGAGTGAAGATCAAGGTGAAAGCCAAAATTATCAAAGTGGTAGGTCCTCGGGGTAAGTTGACCCACAATTTCAAGCATTTGAATCTGGATTTCCAATTGCTTATCGACGAGTCCACTGGAAAAAGGCAATTGAAGGTCGATGCCTGGTTTGGATCCAGGAAGACCTCCGCATCCATCCGCATAGCCCTCAGCCAAGTTGATAACCTGATCACTGGTGTTACTAAAGGTTACCGCTATAAGATGCGGTTTGTGTATGCTCACTTTCCAATCAATGCTTCCATCACTAATGGCAACAAGTCCATTGAGATCCGTAACTTCCTTGGCGAGAAAAAGGTCCGAATTGTTGAGTACTAAACTTGATTTTGGACTAAATAATATGGGCTTAGGGATTTTGCTTATAGGCCCAAATCAATTAAAAGGTCCAACATGCCTAGCATTTCTAAAAATATTATCTAGAAAAATCTATATAAATATCTACTAGAAAAATCTATGTAAATATCTAAGTAAGATATGTGGTTTTATAAAGAATATTTAGAGAATTTTAGGAAAATATATTGATGTGTGGTCTAGGTGTCTCTAGAAAATGTGTGGACTAGAATCTTCATGTAAATACTATATAAAGGGGTAGTGTCCTCCATTTTGAAACAAGCCAAAATAGTGTATATAAAGTCTTGAATTTGAGAAATACAAGTTTCCTTTTGCTCACTTCCTTCTTTCTATTAGTGTTGTCCCCCTTAAAACCCATAGTCAATCCAAGTTAGTAAACCCCTCTTTCCTCCAACAAACTGGTATTAGAGCCCTAAGGTTATTGTGAAAAATGGCAAGTGGGATGATTCCTTTTCAAGTTCCCCAACTCAACAAGGATAACTACAACAATTGGAGCATAAGGATGAAAGCATTGCTCGGGTCGCAAAATGCATGAGAGATCGTAGAGAAAGGCTACACGGAACCACAAGACGAGGTTGCTATATCCCAAGCACAAAGGGATAGTTTGAAGGATGCAAGGAAGAAGGAAAAGAAGGCGTTCACCCTCATCTATCAAGCCTTAGATGAAGGCATGTTCGAGAAAGTAGCTTGTGTTACTACGAGTAAGGAAGCATGAGAGATCTTGCAAAACTCCCACAAAGGAGTTGAGAAGGTAAAAAAGGTTCGACTTCAAACACTTCGAGGTGAGTTTGAAGCTTTACATATGAAAGAATCGAAATCAATTTCTGATTACTTCTCTAGAGTATTAGCTATTGTGAACCAATTAAAAAGGAATGGAGAAAAGTTAAACGACACTCGAGTAATTGAGAAGATACTGAGGTCTTTAGATTCTAAATTTGACTACATAGTTGTAGCCATTGAGGAATCTAAAGATCTAGATAGTATGAGTGTCGATCAACTCATGGGATCTTTACAAGCCCATGAGAAAAGAATAAGGAAGAAGATGAATGAAGAGCTATTAGAACAAGCTCTTCAAACAAAGCTCACTTTGAACGAGGGTGAAGGACGGTTCAACAGTAGAAGAAGCCAAAGAAGAAGAGGACGAGGCCAAGATTGACGAAGAATTGCATTCTACAAGGAGGAAAGAAGACAAAGTTCATTTTCCACCAGAGGTCGTGGAAGAGGAAAAGGTACGAGGCAAAATGAAGGACCAAGGTATGACAAATCTCAAATTAAATGTTACAATTGTCAAAAATTTGGTCATTATAATTCAGAATGTAGAAATATTACTAACCAAGTTTAGGAGAAAGCCAACTACGCTTGTCGGGAAAGTGAAGTAGATCCTACACTACGGTTGGCTTACAAAGGTGAAGAGAGCAGAGAAAATAATACTTGGTATTTAGATACAGGAGCAAGCAACCATATGTATGGAAAAAAAACATGTTTTTGGAGCTTGGTAAATCGACAAGAGGCAACATTACCTTTGGAGATGAATCCAAGATCCCAGTGAAAGAAAAAGGTAAAATCTTGATCCGCTTGAAAAATGGTACGCATAAATTTATCTCAAATTCAAATGTCTATTATGTGTCCAATATGAAGAATAACATTTTAAGTTTGGAACAACTTTTAGAGAAGGGTTATGATATTCATTTCAAAGATCATAGTCTTTCAATAAGAGATCAAAGAGAAAATTTGATTGTCAAAGTCCCTATGACAAGAAATAGAATGTTTGAGTTAAGCATCCAAAATGATGTTACCAAATACTTAAAAGCTTGTTTTAAAGATTTATCTTGGCTTTGACACTTGAGATTTGGGCATCTTAATTTTGAAGGCTTAAAGTTGTTGAGTAAGAAGAAGAAGATGGTGAAAGGTTTGCCTCCAATAAATCATGCGGATCAATTATGTGAAGGATGCTTACTTGGAAAGCATTCAAGGAAACGTTTTCCAGAAGAAGCTTCTACAAGAGCTAAGAAGCCGCTAGAACTAGTACACTCTGATGTTTGTGGGCCAATTGATCCAAGCTCTCTCGATAAGAGCAATTACTTTGTTCTTTTTATTGATGATTGTAATAGAAAGACTTGGGTCTATTTTCTCAAACAAAAATTGGAAGTTTTTGAAACTTTTAAGAAGTTTAAAACTCTTGTTGAAAAAAAAAAGCGAATATAGTATAAAAGTCTTGGGATCGGATAGAGGAGGAGAGTTCACCTCCAAAAAGTTTGAGAAATATTGTGAGGAGAATGAAATTCGTCGCCCATTGACGGTTCCATACTCTCCACAACAAAATGGAGTAGCGGAAAGAAAGAACAGATCCATTCTTAACATGGCCCGCTGTATGCTCAAAAGTAAGAGATTGCCCAAAGAACTTTGGACCACAGGATTCCTAGATTGGGTATTGAAAAAATTTCGCTCATGGTGAATGGTAGCATTTTTGTTCCTGGCTGCCTTTGTGTTGGAATGCAACTGGTCCAAAGTTCTCAAGTGCCAATTGTAGGTGTCAAGGCACTTACATAGTCAGGACTTGGGATTTCTAAAGCAGTGTCTAGAGGTCGAAACCTGGAATTATGGTAAGATCTTTCATCTTTGTTAGGTACACTTTTGCTCTTACTAGTAGGAAATGTGATGGCAGATAATACCTATATGATTGTCTCATACTATGATCATCTACATGATTGCAGAAATAGCCAAATGATTGGGACTCTGAATGTCGTAACTCTTTTAGGCAAATAAGCTTGGAAGTTTATACAGCAGTCACTCTCAGTTGTCCCAAAGAAGGCACTCTCAGTTGTCCCAAAGAAGGCATTAACTTCATTGATCGCCACTGAGGCCCCAAACCACCCCCAACCGCCAGGACTTGTGCCTGTCTTTGTAGGGTAGAGTCAGATAATTCTTTAGAGAGTGGATAGCTAGATATGTTTATAATGTAACCAGACCATATATGAATCTAATCTTAAAAATTTCTGACGTTTGCATTTAACTGGACCATTTAAAATCTGACCTTCACATGATCATAGTCCATAAATTGCCAGATTCCACATTCTTCTCTATTGTGCCAATTTTCAACCATGGGTTTCGGCTGGTTCTTATCCATGTTATCAGTTATTCTTTTCTCTCTCCTCGTGCCCGTAGTCTGGTACTCAAATCTCTTTGTTTCATCACACGATAATCTCATAAGCCCATAATTAACGTGACAAAACATCTCTCCTTCCATGATTCCAGCTCAAACAATCCAAGAGCCAGCAAGATGTTCACTTTTAGGCAGTGCTGCAATTTCCAGTTAAAAGGGTTGTATCCAAATACCTGATCCAGAAGTTGAAAATGATCTTAAAATCTAGCCGGAAGAGTAATATGTCCTTCACCTATTCGCATTTTTTACCTGGTCAGTCGAAATCCAGCGTCATTTGAAACTACCTTCTCCTTCCAATTCCAGTATCCTTCGAACGCTTCCGATTCAAATCCCTTGAGGGCCTCTAATTTGAGCGTCCCAGATGGTGGCAGTGGCCTTACTTTTATTATAGTTCCCAACGAGTTCATAGTGGGACGGCCTGGTTGCATGGCTTGGTATGCTCAAATTATGGTGCTTACTGAAAAAAAGCAACAGCCAAGGCCGCCAAACAAGCCCCAAAATTTCACAATATCAGAAATTTCTTCTGCTAGAAGATGTTTTGGTGAGTTACAGATTCTAGGCAGTGATAATAGGAGTATAGCATATAAAGCCACCATGTTAAAAGGCTGCAACATGGCGGCGAAGAGATTCTCCGGCCAGTTATTCACTTCTTATGGGCTGGATAAACGAAGGATTCACAGAGAAATCAAAGCTATTAGTAAAATTCGCCACCCGAATTTGGTTCCGATCAGAGTTTGGTGCTTTGATCATCAAGAATCTATATAGTTGTGTACTATTATATTCTGAATGGCAGTCTTGATAAGTGGTTGTTCCGTGTTGGAGTTTTGCCGTGGACTCGCCGGTTCCGGGTGGTTAAAGACGTGGCTGAGTCATTGAGTTATCTTGATTCCAAGGAATTGGCTCACAAGAATGCGAAAACTAGCAGCGTCTTTCTTGACGTTAGTTTCAGAGCAGTGCTTGGTTTTTCATTTTTCTTTTCCATTCTTCAATTGAGTGAACTCGGTTTGCGGCATTAATGAGTCAACAAGTGGACATCTTCGAGTTCGGGGTGTTCGTACTTGAACTTGTATCGGGTAGGAGGAGGAGTTGGAAACCGGGTGAGATTGAATTGTTAGACTTGGCGTGGGCCTTGCCCGAGGCAGACGAGAAAGTAAAGTTGGTTGATAGGAATATGGGTTTGGTCGTGAACCCGGATCAGGCTATTCGGGTTTTGGAACATTGAATGATGACAAAAGAGGCCTAGCACGGAACAAGTGGTGGAGTATTTGAACGTTGAGAAACCGATTCCTGAGTTGCCACCGAGTCGACCCGTTTCTTTGCTACCCTACAGCAGCACCACAGGATTATGCAGTGGGTACTCTTGTGCACCATTCAAATATTTCCAAATGTATGATTCTCATGAAATGGACGAACTTTGGTAAATAGTGTTGACGTGCTTTATACGGCCACCCAGTCAATAATTTTGGTCCTAACATGTGAAGTCAGATAAAATTGTATGAAATTATGAATGATTGAAAGTTCCGATCCAATCTTTGGATAACAAAATTGAATATAATGAATAATATTAACACTGAATAAACTGAAAGAATTCTTAGAGGACATAATATGAGTTATGAAAACATAACGAAAAAAATGTTTTATTAGAAAAAAGAAAAAAAGTTGTTTCTATACTTATGCTATATTTGATAAAAATAATAAATTACTAAATAATATTAAAAAATTTAAAAATTATTTATTGTAGTACATTGCTTATAACCTTCTCAAGATACCTGTCCCACAAACTAGCCAAATCTGCAAAGTTGGCAGTTGGATTACCTGTCAATAACCATGAAAAGAAATATTGATACGTAAGTAATGTGTTTTTAATTGTTTTGATCAATAATCATGTTGGACACGTGTCTGTATAATATCTGATTGTATTAAATTTATCAGAAAGGTTAGACACTTCAACTTTTTAATTATGGTTAGACATCTTATTTTTTCAAAGTAGCAAGTTTTCTCACAACCTTGAAAAATAAGAATCCAAATTTTCGATATGTAAATTTGAATTCTCAAGTGAGGAAAATATTTAATGTGGATGTTAAATTCCATGCAACTATCACGTGACTCAAAGCTGAATGACAAAATCGTAAATTAATTCATGTTCACATTAACAATTTCGATTGTTAAGATTCAAATTTACCAACTTAAATAGGTTGGAGACTTGAAAACCCACTTTTAAAGGTTATGACCCAAAATCACATTATTTGAAAAGCTAAGGAGCTCATTCCAATTTTCTTTTTAGCCGTGTAACAAAAAGCTATATTTACACCATATTGTATTGTAACAACACGACATTTAATTGCACAAACAATCCTTAATCTTTACTCATTGTCATACTCGTGTCACCAATTGTTTTATCACTTTCTTATCTTAATATTTCGTTAATTAGAACAATTGTCCAAAAAATTCCGTTAAGATTACTTAAAGAACTCTTTTTCCTCTTTACTTTTAAGAAAAAACTTAAAAATGACAAATACGAAGTCACAAATAAATATTTATATATCATTTAAAAATATACTAACAAAATTCTTGGACAAAAAATGGCATTAGTGAACATTTGCTAATTGTTGAAATATTACAGATAAGGATACAATGATAAATGTTGAAGATGCACTATAATGATGAATATAAGTTTAGACAACTTTAATACAATTCAAATGTGGGGTATAATAAAATATAATAAAATAACAAAATATTTACCCAAGTAGTCTCATTTATAACTTCTTGTAAATTTTGGTTCATTATTTCACTGTTGAGAAAGAAAGGGTCAGGCGTCTTTTTAAAACAAGAGAATATCCTTTATTGAAAACTCTCCTCTTATTCCTCGAAACCCACGAACCACCAAGATAAAGACCAGATTTCCAAATAGGGGCTTTCATATTTCAATCTCCAAACGAAGAAATTTCAGTAGATTTCAATTCAGTGAAAATTTTTGATAGGTAATTGTAAGAATCCCAAGGGCAGGAATTAACGGCAAGCTTTAATTTCGTTAAAGCTCGCCGAAAATGAAAATTTTCATCAGTAAACCCTCACCGTTGTTCCTAATTTTCATCCTCATCGTTATTTTAACCACCCATTTCCTCCCCACGGTCCGATCAAGCCCCAATTTCCTCAAATTACCCTCCGATCAAGAAGAAGATGGACATCTTTGCTCAGCAAATTCGAAACCCGATTTGTGCCCCGTGAAGTGCTTCAGACCCGACCCCGTCTGCGGCGCCGACGGGGTGACCTACTGGTGCGGCTGTGCAGACGCGCATTGCGCGGGGACGTCTGTGAAGAAATTGGGATTTTGTGAGGTCGGCAATGGCGGTCCCGGCCAGGCCTTGTTGCTGGTTCACATTATTTGGCTCATATTACTGGGAGTCTTCGTGTTGTTCGGGCTTCTTTGATTCAATGTTTTTTTCTATTTTTCGTTGATATTTTTCCGACTCCTGGACCTGGTGAATTGGGGGTAATTACATTTTATTCTAATTTTTCGATTATATTTGTATATTTTATACGTGTGCAAGACAGTTTATGTTTGACTTATGTTATTTTTATTCTTGGAATGCTCAAATATGATTCAGATTCTTTTTTTCAATCTAAATTGTGTTTATTCATTATTGTAATTTCTGTCTTAGCATTGTCATTATCAATATGAACTGCCACACAATATGGAATGAACATTACTAGGACAGAAATTAGCATGCTCAACTCCTTAGTTGACATCAAAAGCAATTGTTCTTGTAAAATGGTGAAGCTATGTTTTAGATTTGCAAAATCTCATGAAAAATAATCAATGCAATTGTCAGTTCTTTCTAGGAATTAGACTAGCTCAAAAATCAAGATACTAAAAGGACCGTTTGAATTACTTAGCTATCCTTCTTAGGGCTTTGGAGCGAGAAAACAGGTTCTCCAAGACGATCAGCGCCAGTAGGTTCAGCAGTCGTGGAACTCTCATCGCCAGTTGTCCACGATGGATCTTCATTCTTGTCGGCTTCTGAAACCTTGGGAAGCCCATTGCCAGAATTGTTGCCTATTAGGTTCTTGTATATACTGAGAGCTTGAGCCATCATATTTGCAGGATTAGAAGCACTTGCTGGAAGCAGCATTGTTGTTCCCTAGATTAATGAAACAAGAAACCTATACATAAACATTGTACTTGAGTACAAATTGCCAGCTTAAAGTATGATCAAATTACGAATATTACCTCCTTTGCGATCATACTGAAGGCCTGAAGATATTGCTCAGCAATTCTTAAACTAGCTGCCTGCAAAATCCACGAACTTCAAGATATTGCTTGCAGAAATAAAATGTACCATGATGCAAGGGAAATTGTTAAAAAGGGGAGGGTATATGGACGAGGAAGCGAAAAAAGGAGGGAATTAGAAATTTCAGAAGGTAAGCTACGGGCAGCGAATCAGGAAAACAGATAGTGCAAAACATGACTTGTTCATAGGATAGCACATCAATTAACTTGCAAGAATTGAAAACCTCACCTCCACCCCACCATTTTCTTTTAGGCTTTGTGACACCATGGAAAGTCCTTTTGCTGTTGCTTGTGCTCTAGCAAGGATTGCTTCTGCTTCTCCTGTAATTAAATAATTTAACAGTTCTGGAATCAGAATATTAGATGTCATGAGAAAATGGAAATTCAAAGAATGTACAGTATTGCTGAACCTATTAGGAATCTGTAATATCTATTATGACACATCAATTGCCAGAATGATTGAATAATGGAATAGGACTTTATTTGAATTTGCAGTAAACTTAGGAAAGTGCTGTAGGAAGGAGGCACCAATAGCCGACAGCTTTTGTCCTCCGCATATATTTAGATTTCAAGGATAATTGGTAAGCATTTATTTAATCATCCAAGATTAAACACAAAGATAATGAGCTGCTTGCCCCAAACTGAAAGCTGAAAGCTCTACATTGGAAATGGTTAGTTGTAACTAACCTAGAGCTCTGTTAACCTGGTCCAATTTTGCAGCTTCAGATGCAAGGATAACTGAATTCTTCCTTCCATCTGCAATATTAATGTTTGCCTGCCTTTCTCCTGTTATATCAAATACCACATCATACTCATTAAAGGACAAGAATGGCAACAAAGGCATTCTGATGGATTTCCAATGATGTACACTAAAATCATGTAGGGATAAACATATTCTTGACAAGCTTAAGATAAATTACCGGAACAGAGAGCAGTAGAAATTCTGAATTTTAGAAGCAGATAATAAAATCAATGCATTCAAACTTATTCAATCCATTGAATTGGAATTACTTTCTTTTAGAGGCGTTGCCTTCATTCAACAGTATAGCAGCAAAAAGAAGCCATAACACCTCTCTATGGATAACAAGGTGATCCCATAAGGTATTGTACGGCCAAAAATATTGTGAAAAAATAAACACATTACCCTCGTTTTTGTTATGGGAAGAAGTGTAAGCAACCTTTTCTCATTTGGGAAAATAACATACGTTTCTCCTAGCAAGGGCTCACGAGAAGTGAAGTGGAGCTTGTCCATTAAGTCCTTTCACTACTAGTTACTGGATGGAGTATGTCAGACACTTGCCAAGGAAAGAAAAGGAAGTGCCACATGTGATCAAGTTACCATATGTGACAGCGATCAACTGCACTTGATAACTTGAATCATCACAAATAACTTCCAGCTGAAAGATGGCATTATTCCTTGAAAATTTATGTAATTTTCCAACTGGCAATCCTTCATATGGTACAACTAATTATATGCTCCCCCTCAATAGATACCACATTTAAGACTGCACAAAAGGATAGATGTGAATTACTAAATAGAATTGATATAAGGAAAACCAATCACCTTCAGACTCCAAAACCTGAGCTCTCTTTTTCCGCTCTGCTTCTGCCTGCATCTCCATTGCTGCCCTCACTCCTCGTGGTGGAGATATATCCCCTGAAAATGGAAAAAATTTCAATAAGTAAATAGGATGCAAAGGAAACCGTGAGGAATTTTCTTAACCAAAGACATTTCAGCATACAGGTCACTCACTTATCTCATAACGAAGACATTTCAAGCCCCAATCTTTTGCAGCTTCATTGATGGCTAACTGCAAGGAATGCAATTCTAAAGACATCAAAAACATATAAATAAGGGAAAGTGTAATGGAATAAAGCTCAATTATGCAAACATGCCAATAATACTAAGCAAAACTATTGAATGAACTGAAACAGACATCTGATTCTAATCAACAGTAGCAGAGGACAACCACTTGAGAAACAGTTCTTTACATTACAAATTGAAAACAAGGCACAATATTCACGCCCTCGTTTTCTGGTTCACAATCGATTATTTGTATAAAAAGCAGAAAGCAGTCACATAAACCAATTTATATAAACGGAGGCTAAAATAATTACCTACTAAGCCCACTGAAAATCATTCTGACTTGAAGAAGATGTGGATGTTATGCATTATGAGATGATTTCTTATCTTAAAAATGACATACATCCTTTATAATTGAACAATACAACACTGCCTGTGAAAGCTTTTAAATCCCAATTTTATTCATAACCAATACATTTTCTTTCACTATACCAATTGTTTATTAAGTAAACACTAACTCAAGCAGTATCTACACAAATTAAAGTGACTAGATAAGGAGCTTCATATACACAACGAACTAATTATTCTTCCAAATAAATTTGGGATGAGCTACATAAAATTCTTTTTTTAGCAGCTCCATTCAATCAATCATTACATATATATCATTTTTTATTTTTATTTTTGGCACAACAAAAAACAAACTTCTACTGGCAGCAAGGAGAACTTGCATCCATTCCATGAAAGCATCAACATAGGTCGTAGGACAAAATTCAAAGAGCACATCATACAAACTAAAATTTAAAACTCAAACCAATTCAATTAAGAAAAGTAGAGTTTCCATAGCAACAATTGCAATTTGCAACTTATCCCATATAATTTACAATGAAACAACCAACCACTAAAAAAACCTAAATCGATTGGATCTAGGGCATAACACTTACACTATCAGTGAATAAAAAAAATTCGGCATGGGTAGAAATAAACCTAAGTTCTATGCCGATTCCAATAATTACGTGTATATGAATGATTTCACTTACAAAATACTCGAAGCGTAATAGATGATTTTGGGTATTGAAATAATAAAATTGTAATAGTTTGACGAATAGAATCAAGAGTTGTAATTTAAATTGAGTTTGAAGTTTCGAAATTGTGGGGTGGGGGGGGAGGGGAATTAGGTTTTGGAAAAGATTGGATTGGAATAGTTTGAGGAATAGAATCAAGATTGAAGTATGTTCTTATGATTCAACCACCACAATTATAAATGATCATCAAGAATTGAAAGGACTTGGTGGTTATTATTCACAAAATTATTATAAGGGGATTCAAAATTAAATAAGAAATTTTAAATATAAAACCAGAATTTCTATTTATAAAATTTGTGAAACAAATGTTTACTAATTCCGAGTTTGGAGAACACACTGTATTTTCAGTAAAATAAATAAATCTTCCCAAAAAAAAAAAATTGCGGAGGAAATTATATTAATAAATTTGAGTCGAAAAATGTCTATAAATCACAAATTTTTTTAAAGGTCTAATATTTTGTAAGAATATCCAGAATACTTTTACATGGCCTCGATATTAGTGAAAAGATTTGGTGCACAATATTTTGTAAATAAATACTAGCGTACTATCCTCATTTCTACATATTTTTAGAATTTGATAAAAACGAATAGAATGCATGAGTTAAAATTAATTATTAACTTTAATTTAACTGAATCGAATAGGGCATAATATTAGCGATTATATCAATTATAATAGCTAGCAAATACTTTCATACATATATTAGAAATGGGAGTGGGACAAGGATACAAGTCATCAAACGAGGTCACTATTTTGATGTTGAAAATTCGGACCCACAAACCCGACTAGCTCATGGGTCGAGATTGTGCCAAAAATGCAGGTGATCTAGACCTTGAAATTTACAAGACCATTAAATAAACCATCAATTTTATAATATAAACTTTTATATCTCCCTAACGTCAAAAATTTCTTATTTGATAGAAATTAAAATTTTTAATTTAAGTCAAAATCAAACAATTTATATTAACCACATCTTTTATGGATCTTACAACTTTTCAACCACACATGTCAAAAACTTTTGTAATAATTTACATTAAGAGCATGGTTCGAATTAAAATCTGATTTAAAATTTTTAATTTAAATCAAAATCAAACAATTTATATTAATCACATCTTTTATGGATCTTACAACTTTTCAACCACATATGTCAAAAACTTTTGTAATAATTTACTAAAAAATCTAATTTTAATTTCCACCAAACATCTTCTTAAACCTTTGTTTGATTTATATAATTTTAGTAGATTTTGATAAAAGCTGTAAAATGTGTGGTAAAAAGTTAAATAAAAACTATGGATTCTATAAGATTTGTGATTAAAAATGAGTTTGATGGGGGGGGGGGGGGGGGGGGATGATTTTTTTTAAAAATGAAAATCAAATAGGGACAAGAAGGGGGGAAAAAGTGACACCAATCGCAACTAAATAGACTTTGTTGATGAAAATATTGACTTATCTTGAGGTGTGACTATCATTACTTAGAGCAAATAGATTGTATCATTCAAAGTAAGTTTATCTATTTACATTGAAAACTCTTATTGTGAATTGAATACATCCAAAACTATTGGAACTCACATAAAGTTTCATTAAAGTTTGATCTTTTAGTCAATAAGACAAGAAGATTGAATATGCTTATTTTAGGTCGGTATGTTCATATCCAATGGAGTTGGGAAACTCTTCTCGTTTAAAAAGTATATATTTGTGAGAATTTTTTCCTTCAGTCTTTCGAACAAGTAACCTAATTATATACGCACAAATTAAACTATTTTATCTGAAAAAAAAAATTTAACTTTTAAATTGAAGCAAATTTATTTTTTTACATTGTTTCTTCCACGCTCTTCCTTATATGCAAATATGTATTCATCTTTCATTGATCTCGAAGATTAATTACTACAGAACTAGTTAATGGCATTTTAACTACAAAACTGGCTAAAGAAGAAGTTACATAAAAACAAGGTAAATGAGCAACTCGATTCAACTTGGATTGAATCCACATTGCCTTCTTACATATTATCATTACGACTTGTTCACAACAAAAGTAATAAGTAAACAAAATAGCCCGACTCGACTCTATAGCACGTTCTTTTTATTGTAGTATCAAATCTCTCATCTTCTCAATTTGCCTCCTCGTCATTCTTCTTTTCTTCGGGAGGAGATAGAGAATCCCACCCATGATCAAAAGTAACATCCAAGAAATAAAGCAAAAAAACTAGGACAATACAACACAATAACATAGGAATTGGTCCAAATAACCACAAAAATAAAGGAAAAGAAAAATAAAATGCCCTCAGCCCTAATGACCAGAAATAACTCCCCCGATTAATCGTCCTCCCTACATATTCAATGTTATCAAGAAAATTTGTAGCCATTTTATCGAAAGGCACATTGATGAGTAGACTTGTATGGCTGTAGTACCTTACTGATTGTACATTAAACAAGAATGCCATCAAGAAGCAAACTAATATAGAGAAAACTTTAATGGAAAAACCCAACTCGCTTTTGTCTCCAAAAAGAAGCCCTGTTGAACTGTTGCTGCGGCCACCAACACCGGTCATCAACACAGCAATGAGGGAACTCAGCATAATAGCAGTCGATGCTAAGAGGGTGGATGCCATTATGTTGTTTCTTAGTGTTTGTACAGCCAACACTCCGTACTTGGATGTGTCCTGTCATTATTTTATATCCGCGATGTCACGACATGTTCTACAAATCGAACTGAATATGACTTTATAAAGTTTTAACTTTCTTTTCCTCTTACCAAAAATCTATTAGTACATGTTAAAGTACACTGCATATTGGATATAAATAAGTAGTTTAGTGAATAAAGCCTAATTTTCACTACCATCCATCAAACATAACCGAACAATATAATGGTTGAGATTTTATTTCATTTTTAATTCTGAAAAATACAGTCTAATCTACCTTAACAAATAAGTTATTAGATTTACAATTATATAACAAAGAAATTTGATCACTTACTATCCAATCTTTCGTATAAAAAAATTTGATTTGAGTGAATGAGTAAGGTAAAGACAAACCTCCATCATGGCACGAACCCATAGGCGGCGATTGATGGCATTGATGCCGATTACAGTTCGGTTTGGGTGCTTCAAAATTTGATGGAGAAGCCAAATGTGATAAGTAACCATTAGTACAAGGCCTGATGGTACAAAAACATAGTCAACAATCTGTTTCTCCATCTGATAATTGATCAAACCACAATCAGATATGAACCCTAGTGAACAAGTGAAATTTGAAAGGCTCTCTCTGCCGAATCTGTAACCTACCTACCCCTTTCTCTCTCTATATCTATTTATATACATGAGAGAGTCCGAGAGAGACACGGATCTGCTTATTTTAAAGTTAAGATGAGGTCAGAGTTGACTGAAACTAGCTCAACACAAACTGACACAATGTCGACTCATGGAGAGTCGAACTCTCTGTCACAATTAGTTATGACACTAAGACATAAGCATTGTGTCAGGTGGCTCGACCGTCTAAATATGAGTGCTTTTTAATGCCCATAATTAGCCCCTTTGATAAATATTAAAAGCAAATTTTCAATAAATTTTGATAAAAATTAATAAAATACATTGTTAAAAATTGTGTAACTCATAAATAATATAATTAAAATTAATTGTTGACTTTCACTTGAATTAAAATTTGAATTTTTATATTTACCTATCAGGGGGATTAATCTTAAAGCACATGTACTTTTTTTCCTTTTGAATTGATAAATATTAATCACCATGGATCAAAACTCATGTACAAAAGCACACATGCTTTTTCATTTTTTTTTTTATAATTCGGGTGTCCAAATTTCGCCTGACTAATTTTGACGAGTGACAGCCTTCCCCCCTAATTCCTCACCCAGGTTAATTCAGATATGGACATAGCTTATACACACTTGGATCGGACAATTGGGAAAACACACATTTGATTATGGGGCTGTTTGATGCCTATTTTCTTCAAAAAAAATGCATTTTGAAATAGTGTTCTTATGGGGAATGTAAGCGTAAAAACAAGGAAAAATTCTGAATTTATGTGTAAAATTATTTTATTGAAAATGTGTGGTTGAAATGATGTCAAATTATTATTCAAAAATTTATTTTGTTGAAAAAAAAAATGGGGCTTACGTATCGAGTTGACAAGAAGGGTGACTTTAGCAAGTGAAATAGTGACTTCACATTACCTGCAACAACCTCTTAATCTCTTTGGTTCAGTTTATTTGGCCCGCATTTCAACCAACTGTTCCTTTTAAGACTCGACAAATAAGGTGGAAAAACTTCCCACGTGTTGGTTTGCTACATGATCCACCACTTGCGGCCGTGTGTCAACGACTCAAAATGTGCCACATGGTTTTAAGTTTCACCGCAGATTCTGGTGTTCATATTGAGAGCATCTTTGACCCACGAAAAGTCATGGGCATAGCGCATTTATTCACTGATCAAACAAACACATATTACTTTGAAACACGATCAAATGTGCTCTAATGGAATAATTCTATTCTACCAAAACTATTCATTCTACAGAAAAATTACAGAATAGCATATTGTCCTTTTTAACCCTTATTTCTAAATTATTTCCTTTTTGCTTACTGCTTGTTTAACTGCTTACTGCTTGTTTATAAATTGTATCAGAGCCTAGTAACGAAATTGAAGAAAATTTTGAAGATGTATAGAAAAGATAAAATGATTTTAGAAGAATTACAAAATATTAGTATATTAACTAATACTAATCGAATTAAATTGCAAGAATTAGCGACAAATTTAAGTACCGAATATTCATCCTTAAGATAAGACATAAAACAAATAAATAATTCTCAACAATTAGTTGAAATAAAAAATAAAGCATTACATATTCTAGTTGATGAATCTTCTAAGTATGAAGAAGAAGATATTATAAATCAATTTTTAAACCAATATGATGATTATGCTGAGCCTTTAGGAAAACTAAATATTAATAATCAATATGTCATAACTAGTATAAAGAATATGGAATCTAATCTAGAAATTGTTAACAACAATATTAAGGTAGGACCAACAATCTTATATAAATAGATAGAATCAAAATTTAAAGAATTAAAACTTAAAAAAGATTATTATGTTTCTATTGAACCACCCTTATCGGCCTATGTTATAGAAGAATTAGAAACAAAATTCTTTGAAGCTACTGGAGAAGAATTAGAAGCTTATAAACAAAGTTTAGAACAATTAGCCATACAAACTGAAAATATATATATGAATGATCCTCCACCTAAAGAAGAAACTACTGAAATTAATACTCCACCTTTAAATCAACAAGTTGAAAACTAGCCTTTAATTGGAGAAAATAGTAGAACTAATATTAATACAGATTGGACTCAAATTGAATCTAATGACTGAAATTTTGAGTAGATGAAAGAACTAAAAACTATATCAACTAAGCATATACATCTTAGGAATAATAATCCAGTAAGATTATTTACTGAACAAATTCCTACTACAGGAATATGGTTAGATATTAATGATAGCAATAATAAAAGTGAAGTTATTGACTCTTGGGTAAAAGCTACTGATTTAGTTGTTGCTTTTAATAAATGGAATACAACTCAAGCCTATAACTTTATAATCCACACCTTTAGAGGAATTACTTCAAATGTCTGGAGAAGAACTTTTGAAGAAACTAAAAATAAAATTAAATATG